ACGAGTGGCGCTGGATACATCGGTGTCGAGATGACTGGCATGCTTCACGCACTCGGCTCGAAAACACACTTCTTCATCCGCGGCGACAAGCTCCTCCGAACCTTCGACCCCATGATCCAAGATACCGTAACTCAAGAGTACGAGCGTCAGGGCATCAACCTCTACAAGGGTACACAGATTACAAAGGTTGAGGATATTGGCAACGGCATGAAGCGCGTCACCTACCAGAACAACGAGACAAAGAATGAGTCGACCGTTGAAGTCGAAGAAGTTCTCTTCGCAACTGGACGTGACCCCGAAATTGAAGATCTCAAGATCAAGGACTTCGGCATCAAGCTCAACGACAAGAACCACATCGTGACCGACGAGTACCAAAACACCTCTATCCCCAACATCTACGCCATCGGTGACGTATGTGATCGCGGTTTCGAACTCACCCCCGTCGCCATCGCCGCTGGAAGACGCCTCTCCGACCGCCTATTCAACAACCAGCCCAAGGCACACCTCGAATACGAGAACATTCCCTCTGTCGTCTTTGCCCACCCAGAGATCGGCTCTATCGGTCTAACGGAGCCCGAGGCCCGCGAGAAGTACGGCGACAAGATCAAAATTTACAAGACCGAATTCAAGGCCATGTACTTCGCTATGATGGACCCCGATGAGAAGCAGCCCACAGCTTACAAGATCATCTGCGCGGGCGAAAACGAGAAGGTCGTCGGTCTGCATATCTTGGGACAGGGAAGCAGCGAGATCCTGCAAGGGTTCGGTGTGGCGATCAGGATGGGTGCCACGAAGAAGGACTTTGACAACTGTGTGGTAAGTAATCACCCAACCTTCCATTCCCGTTTCGTCGTGCATCCGTGCATGCATAAGCGGCAATGCATCGGCTGTCGACTGCTGCAGCTGCCACGTTTGCGGGGGAAAGGAACGGCATTGTGCAATCGGCGTTTGAGAACATGGATGCTAACATGTGCTTCTCCCGCAGGCTATCCACCCCGTGTCGGCCGAAGAACTCGTCACCATGACTTAGACCGGTTGGCGTCTTGCATAGTCGTCCGACGCATGATATTGTATAGATTAGAGGGGATAGCTTATACTGGCAAAGATCAGAGGAGTCGAAACAATCATCTAGCTAATTACACACTCGCACTTCCAACGCATTGTCCCCCGAACCTGCTTCGCGTGACGAACTTGTATCTCACCACTGTGCCACACCGATGCAGTACAATATGACGAATCAAAAATCGCAACCACACCTCCTCGGAGATCAATACCAACATGCACCAGACCTTCTGACCCCTCTGACATGAGTCCCTGCAGCCCCAAGACCTTGGAGAGAGCTTGTTCCCCCGCCATCACAGGTCGTACCCGTCACCAACTGCCAAAGGGTCCTATCATCAAACCGAAACTAATGCACACGCGATACGCTATACGTGAATCCGGGGTCTTAGCGAGCGACCGTGCAAAAAGGGTCTACTGCACGCCGATGGCACATTGTAGCCGGTGGCTTTTGCAACGGGCAAATTGGTCAAATGCCCGTTGCACGGTGAGCATACAGGGTGAGGATTGACTCGAGCAGCTCCTCGTCTCGTGGTGTGTGTGTGTGTGCACATGGGCGATTGCTACGTGTACAACACATGTGCGCGTACCTGAGTCTTGTTCGTGCGTGAGCAAGATACTGTACAAAGGGTTGACGTTCGTAGCGTGATTTTACCCGAAGCGTGGCATGGAAAGGGATGATCATAGTCGATCTTCATATCGATTCTGCGACCCTGGTAAGTGGACGATACGCTTCATATGAACGTGTGGTATAGGTCAGGCCATCGCTTTCTAGAGTTGTTCTAGTCGGCGGCGTTCCTGGGTGTCGGGAGCGATACATGCTTAGACGTATAACTACGACGTACGTCTCATCCATCACACCTCAACGTCGCAATCTACAGCGACAAGGGTTGTAACGTAATTAATGTGAAGCAGCGACTAGCTAGTTAGGTGAGTAGTTGGCAGACTGGCAGCTTTCATTGCGTGGCTGGCGCTCGTTACCGTCGCTAGCGATTGCACCTGGGCAGTTTCACCCCTGCCCACAGCTGCAACGTCGGCGTAATGTACCGCGATAGCACCGAGCTGCCGTAAGCTCTCGCTCAGCCAGTTCTATGCCACTGCTTCATCAGAAACACGCAGGTCGCTAGAGCAGAGTTCGGTTAAGGCCTTATAGACCTGCTTGAAGCTCTCGTATCTTGGAGAGCAAGTCTTTTTAACGTCTTACGGACATTTGCACAATCCATAATAGTAGCAGATTTCTGTAGTTTTCCGTCTACTAGGCATATGTAAGCTGAATGACGTACCTATGCAAAGCCAAGTAGGGTATTCTCGCTCTCTTCACAAGTTTGTATCTAATAAGTCGGTCCTACAATGTCCGCGAGGTTCCGAGCCAAGTGAGAACGAGGTGACCTATCTATATATCTCAAGCTCTAGTCCATCTAGAAGTACCTCAGTGTTTTCATCCAATATCTACGAACGCAAATCATATCAACAAAATTCGTTTACCTTAACAACACTTTCTAAGATGCAGTTCTTCAGTTTTCTACTCGTAACTGCCATTACGGCTGCATCGGTCAATGCAGGGTGCTGCAATTTTGGAGGGAGTAATGGATGCGCAGATACTCCTAGTCGGTCCAATTGTGAACAGGCTGGCGGGTCATTCAGGGATTCTGCTTGCACTTCTCAATGCTAAACGTGAGTAGCCCAGCATTTGCCAGCATTCAAGATCTAACAGGCTTAAAAGGCGACCTTCAAGCAAGCTGAGCAAGTCACCCTGAAAGTGGTTTACAACATGCCAGTTTATTGTTACAGTCTACACAGAGGCGACGCAATCGAAAGTACGACCAGGACCGTGAGCCGATGACTAGATAAGTTCCATCACGCCCAGCATGAACACCAAGGGGGGCTTCCTGTTGTATTATATAGTTCCAGTACTCACAATGGAATCTGAAACTCCCAATAACCCACCCATTTCATCCTCGCTCAGTCTTTTTCTATACAATTGCAAGCATTCCAGTGTATAGAGACTATCTTGTATCGTGTTGTGTGTTGTAACGATTCAACCTCGCAGCTCACCAAGCAGCCTACCATAGCCGAGATCCAAACAAGATCCAAACAAGATCCGTATCGGCAGGTACAAGTAAAAGCCACCTCCCATAGTTGTTCAGTACATCTTTTACATCCTTTCCTACAAGGCCTATGGGTGTCTATTCGAATCAAGGCTCGTTTGTTGTCCCACGCACTCTCATATGCCTCTGAGTGATACTACTGCCGATACTGGTTCCGACTATTCTTGCCTGCGCCGTTCCACCCCTGTTCTCAGGTTGGCGGCGTAAAGGATGTTGCAGCTGTGAGCAGGGGTAAAAATGCAATCGCTAGCGACTTGATCATGCGAGTTTGCCAATTCTCATCACAAGCTCATTTCCCACTTCATTTGCCGCTCAGCCCTGGCAGCCCTGCATTGACAGCAAAGGACCAACGGGTCCTCCCCGCCTTCGCTTGGAGCTTTTCGCGGGGTGGCTTCCCATCCATCATCTAGCATGCTGTCCGAATCTTCACCGTGCATTACCACCGGCACCATCGGACCCACATTTGTAACCTATCGCAACTGAGCTACTAGTTAGCCAGCACACCTTCTACACACGAAATGACTTGTGACAGGAAATGAACTTTGCTGACGTTCCAACAATATCATCATTCTCGTTCGTTAATGGACCCTGCAGTAGATGCCGCAATGCTGTAAAGCGGAGAATCTCGGTTCCACCACTTAGAGTTTTGCCAGCAACCTGGTTCCTAGCAGCTGTCTCCTGTGGCGCGAACGCCTTTCCGCCCATGTGAGTGGCAGTTTGTGCCTTCCAGAACGTGGTTCGGCGGTGACGACGATTCATCGCACCTAAACGTTATTTTTTGTCGGTAGGCACATTAGGCACCGGAAGCGCGTTCTCCGCGTTAACGTCACGAAGGATTCGATGCTCCCCGGATTCGCACTCTACAAGCGCACACACTTTTGCAAGCCACGGTGTGGAGACATTTGCTGTGCTGTAGTGCGGCGGAGAGGAGGGCCAAAACGGCTATGACCTGCATAGCACAGACACCTCGTGCCTGCGTCGAGCGTCCAGAATCTTGCTACGGACTCACCGCTCCGTGTCAATCAGTGTTCTAGACAGCTAGAAAGGAGGTGGTGTGTTTTGATCTGATGCTATTCATGACCATCCCACCCAAGCAAGGCAGGTCCCTGGGGTACGAGTGTTTGGAGATCCCCCATGACAGCGCCGAACCCCGGGTTACTCGTATGCGAGATACACCGCTAATGCGCATCGAACCGGGGTATGCTTAGCGTCAACGCGAACACCAAGCCGTCACCCTGCACGTTGACTCGATATGGCCTGCTTCCGCACTCTAGCGGCTGAGCTGCCGATAAAGGCACCGAGGCCGCTCTCCGTCATGACACACAGCACTCAATACGGGCCTCCACTTCGACGCCGACACTAGGGTTCTGGTGTGGGCGTCTAAGGAAATCAACGGTACCTTGTCCGCAAGGTGGTGGAACTCGTTTGACGATTGTCTGGTCCATGTGGAGCTGACGGCACTTACTGTTATCGATTGCTCTTCTGAGAGCACCTGCTCAATTGTTATCGATGATATTATACATTTTTACATATGGCGGCCGTGACATTCGTTTTCCGTAGATCCTAGGCTGTGAAGCTAGCCTTCCTGTATTCCGACTCCTTCTGTTTTGCGCCGCGCTGGTTTTGGTTGCAAGACCCCGGACCGGACCAAGCCGGTCGATGATGAGCCGTAAATGATAGCTCTCGAAGCTACTACAAAATGCACTGTGAAATGAAGACACAACCAAATTTAAACCCTTGTGATGATCGTGGCACGGTCGTTCCGCGGTTCCGCTGTGATATTGCGGGAGTTCATACTTCGCCGCCTTGATTTCGGCGCAAGCGGCAGTAAGCTCAGGTGCTCTGTCCGCTCAAGAAAAAGTCCAGCTCGCTTGGACCGCCCCTGCTGACTTCGTTCTCGGCAAGTTGTTCCAGCAAGCTGAGGAAAGGGTCCTTGCTGTCAGGGTCTGTGTGCACCGATGTGCCCGATGTGCTCCCTGCGCCGGGGGTCGGGTGCTGCTCGTACGGCGTCGGCATGCTCAGCATAGGGTCGAAATGAATTGCATGGTTGTTATCCTGGTTTTGGTGGAGGTTCGCTGCACGCGACACCGGTGATGGCGCCAGACTCGCAAACTGCGGCAATGGAGAAAACGAGAAGTTCGGCGAGAATGGAAGAGCAAGCCCGCCACCATTAGCATTCGGTGGATTTAGGGAGTTGTTTGGCAATGGTGGGGTGTAAGGTCGTACACCGGAGTCATTAGGATGTGTTCTAGAGTCTCCCGGGCTTGGGTTAGAGTTTGACTCCGAGGTACCAGCATCCGACGGTCGGTGAGTATGGACGGTAGGAGGATGAGTGGCTGATGTGGGTGTTGGGGGGATAGCTTGTGGTTGGGTTTGGGGTTTCGAGGATGAAGTCGTGGCTCTCCTTCTCTTGTTCGGGTGTGCGTTGGAGTATTGTGGTTGTTGTGAGGGTGCGGAATGCTTTTGGTAGCCCTGAGCGTTCCCGATGACGCCGCTGGTCATGTACATGTTGTTCCGTTGTTCGATGTTGAAAGTGGCAAGGCTACTAGATTATTAGCGTTATGAACATGTAGGGAAGGGCCTGGCTATCTACCCTTCTTGAATGGATTCGACCGCAATGTCCATAAACGTAATGTGCGCTCCGTCGAAGACCTGGCCCGGATATCTGTCGAAGAAATCCTCAAGTTGAAAGACCGGCGCATAGCGCATGGGATTGCTCGCCAACGACTGGACTAGCTCCGTGTGACATCCGTAGATGGTTTGCAGCGTGTCGCGCTGGTGCTGGGCCCCAGCCCAAACAAAACGAAGCTCGGATAGCTGCTGCATCTCTCGAGACAGAAACTCTGCACTGACAGAGAAAACTTCTCCTTCTCTTCCTGGGTAATGTGCTCCATGTACATGGATGGTGCCAGCCGTGCATATACAATAGCCGACAAAAGCTGGCCAATCTATAATGGAAGAAGCTCTTCCTATCTCGGCGAGTTCGGCAATTGCGTTGGCGTGAAGAAAGCATAAGTTGGTCGCTTCTATTTGCCAGGGTTGATGCTGCGAGGTCCCGGACAGCTCAGCCAGGTCGACAGGGAGGAAAGGCCGGTAGATGAGGCAATGTATGAGATGGTAGATCAACTTGCTGAGAACAAGTATGGTGCTGTCGGGTTGGCCAAAGAGAGCTTCGATAGAGGTGAAAGTGTCCTGCGTCTCCGATGCCCATATGTCGAGCTCTTGGCGAATTTTGGATAGGTTGGATAATGAGTGCCAAGGGAAATGTGAATCGCCTTTAACACCACCCGCTGCAAGGTAGCGGTTTGTTATACCCAGGATGCGAGCTATGCCAATGAGCATACCCATGCTTCCTTGTCCACCTTTTCCAGTGCCGCCCATGAACTGCAAATTGCATCCGTTTGGAAAGTAGTCTCCGTCTATTAGCATTGCGCCAGAGTGCAGCTGCCAGCTCGGTAATCGTAGCACAATCGATTCATCCGCAATTAACGAGGGTCGCTTAGAGCCGGTTGCAGCGAAGCGGTCCATGAGGTAACATGACCAGAAGAGCCGGCGTCGTCCTTCGCGTTCGGCGGGTGTGACCTTGATGCCGGTCGGTAGTTCGCGATGCAGATCGAGCGCAAAGGCCATGCTGATGGCAGAATCTTGAGGACGGAGTCAGTCTTGCACAAGGTGTGGACAGTAGTGACTTCGTACTTAGCAGCATGAAGGTCTTCTTGCCTTTGCCCAGCTGGAAGCTTGCTTGCGAGAGGAGCATGAGCGTCTGCAAGGTTTCGATAGAGGGCTCATCTATCTCGAGTTCCAGCCGAGCGCGACGGGCATACTCTTGCCCGATGCGCACTGCAGAGCTGTATCCTCCGAAGTGGGGTGCATATCTGGGGTACATATATTAATTGTGATCAAGAATACTCAGGGATGGACGAATCGTACCTGGCACTCACGGCGTAAATAGCATAGGCTAAGTGGCCGGGAAGCTGATTGGCCTGCAGTCGCTGTCTCGTGGTCGACTCGTCCAGGATGTAGTAGGGCTTTCCATGGATTCTGGCGAAATAGGTGTCTAGAAGTAGGTCGGGAGCCAGGGTCGGGGACTGTATACTAGATGCTGTTAGCAATGTGCAGGGGCGAAAATGGCAGGCTGCGAGTAGGTACCTTGGCTCGATGGGCGACATCAACTGGTTTGCATGGTTGGTGCCACTCGCGCGACGGGGCGTGGACGCATGCGGCGATTGTGAGGATGCAAGATCTTTTCGTTTGACGTCGGCTGAGGTGGTGCTGTCCTGGGAGGTGGGGTCGGTCTCGGTTGGGTCATCGCTCTTGCCTTCGGAAACCAAGCGCTTTTCCAGGCCGTCGACACGTTTCAAGAGGGCCTCGAGAACGTCGGTCTTGGGGCCTCTCTTCTTGGGAACAGCGTCTGGACGTGACTGTCAGTCCATGTTTGGATGCACTCGCGTAGTGTTGCGGGTGGAGCATACCGTATATACACGGGCAGTTGAACACTTGACAGGCTTCACAGGTCGGCCGTGTGCGATTGCACTTGATCTTGAATATGGGTTAGCACGTGGGGACGACGAAAAAAGCAGACAAGCACCACCTTTCGCTTTCGACAGCTTTTGCAGTTCATGGCCTCGCGGGGCTCGTTGGAGACGCGGCGGGCGGGTAGTCGGTCGATGCCAATCTGCGGCCTTGCCATTGCGGCCAGTGACTGGGAAACTTCGGTGGACATGGCGACGCTACAGGGCGGTGGACCAGAAGCATTCTCTGGCTGCAAGTGATCTTGATGATGGCGAACTGGACGGTAGGAAGAAGAAAGCACGCCCCAGCACGGCGTGAGATGTAGGTTCAAATTAAGGCCTATGGCAGTGGAGACAGGCAGGGGGTGCGCGGACGGCGAGGCTTGCTCTGGCGGGAGTGCGCGCCCACTCGGATGCGACTCAGCGTGTGCAGTGACTAGGAAGAGGTAGTGATGGAACCGCTGGGGAGCTTTGGACGCGTGACGACGATCTCGGGGTATCTAGCCATGCGCGGTAGAGCAGCCCATGCAGACGAGCGAGGCTTGGAACCGTTGGGCCGAGTCGAGTAGCAAAAACACGGCCATCATGAGGCCACTGGGGTAAGAGGCTAGCCGCACGTCAGGAAATCGCCCATCGCATGCCGTCCCAGACGGCGCACCGTGCCTCGGTTCTCAGCCATGCAGCTACTGGCAATTTGGCACGTAGATTGCGCCCGTCGCACGCACCCAGCTCGTCTCGGCGTAGCTGCAGCCTGTAGCGCCGGACTGCACCAATGTGTTCTAGAAAATCTGGGGTATCGCCCGCTGCCCAATCACGTGCCCCGCCCTAGTGCTAGCTGCTGCCCCGTCCCCGGTTACAGCTTCCACGAGGGCCCCGTCCCCGTCATCAAGAGCCACCCGCCATCCCTGGTGCCACGGCTGCCTCGCTCCTGTCACGCCGCATGTGAAGACGTATCAATCATCAAATGTACATTGCTCATTGCTAATTGCTGATTTAAAAATGCCCCCTTCCGGACGCCAGACGCACAAAGTCATAACACACGTTCTGCCCCACGAGCTTCCGGATCGTTTCAACCGTCGTCCACGCTGAGACGTCCGCAATGCCATACGCTGTCCATCCCGCCGACGTCGCGATTGCCAACGGGTCGGCCTTTCGGGGTCCACTGGCCAAGTCAACGAACACCTTGCCTGCAGCCTTCGTTCCTGTGCACCCATGTCCGTTGGGGCTTCCATTCCTTCCGCCAACCCTGTAGTGCTTCAGCAGGGGCACCACCAGTAGCGACTTCTCAGCAGGCAGTGCCGAGATGATAACGAATGGCTGCTGCAGGCGCTTCACGTCCTCTACCGATCGTACCGGTGACACGTCAGTAGATAAGGGCCCGTGGGACTTGAACCCTATGGTATATATAGGCCCGATCCCTAGATTTTTCAGTGCGAATATTGACGCCGACGCATCAGCCTCGTTACTGGCGAGCAGCAATGCTGCCTGTCCGCTGTATGCCGATGGAACAAAATCGCGAGTCAGTGTCGCACGTATACCCTTCCACCGCGTGTTGTCTCCTATGAAGGAGGCGTTGCCGGTCCCGGGAGGCACTAACACTGTATCAACTTGTCCGATGGCCCGAGCAGCATTCGAAAGGGAGGGCAGGTACGACGCCGAGGCTGCCAACGGCGGGTTGATGTAGGCACCGCCAAAGTTGTTGCGTCGGAGGATGTGCTCAATCGAAGCCTTCGGAGCTCTTTCTGCAAAACCGAACGAATGTGGCAGACTAAGCTCGTTGAAACACTTCTCAAAGAACATGGCTTGCGACGTTGATCGAAAACTGCCGATGCCGTAGATGTCCTGCTTAGGCATCTGGCCCATTGTGTGGAGCGCTGCGTTAATTTCGGCTGCGCTTAGTTGGCCAGGCGCCGCAATCATGGGTAACAGTGGATGAGTAATCGGAGTGAATATTTTGTTCAGCGTCCTTGATAGCTGGCCCATGGGGCCCATATTGAGGCCAGAGAAGGGAGGATGAGGATACTTGGCTTGAATAGTCGACCGGAAATATTCCAGCTCGTAGTTCTCCTGCATCGAATTGACCAGTGCGTACATCTTGACAATGTCCCCATACACCGCTCCCATCTCGAACAGGCGCTGTGTTTCAGGCGAGGTCCACTTGAAGCTGCCCGAAAAGTCGTGGAACGCCGAGATGATCTTGGTGCACGCCTTGTTCTCGGCCAGCTTCCTCCTAATCTCCTCTGGCAGCCACAATTCCACATCAATGTATTCGCAACCCCATTGTATCGCGCGCGCAAGGTATCGGTAGAACAGGGAGGGGTCGTCCATGGGGAACCGGCCATTTTCCTTGGTGCACCTCGTAGTGAAGATGATTGGCAGCTCCGTGCGTTGACGCAGCACCATGACCTGCTCACCAACATACTTCAAGCTGGGTATCTTGCTGACCGTTCCATCTGGTAGGGGCTCCTCCAGCAGGTCGACTCGGATCTCGATGGCGTCCGCGCCGACCGACAGAATGTCAAGATTGGGAAGTGCAGCGTGCACATCGGGGAACGTCGTCGATATCAGTGTCGTGCGCGCCTTCTTGGTGAGGTCGCGGTGGGGCCCAATCTGGCCCAGGACAAAAGAGAGGTATCGCGACACGTCGCGACGGAAAAAGGGCGCGCGCGTGTAGAGGTATTCGTAGTCGCATCGGTCGGTGATGCTCTCGTCCAGTTCATGGCCGCCGTCCACTCGATGTGTGTTGATCAACAACCTAGAGCGGTCCCAAGCGTCCAGTTGCGTTTTGGCCAGCCCGCTGCTTAGCCCGTAAACCGTCTCCCGTGGTCCTGCCAGCGCTTCGTCCATGGATGTCGCCGACTCCCATTTCTGGCCCAGGACATCCGCAAAGATGCCTACAATGTCCTCCTCGCCTTCATTATGCAGGATCAGCAGCGCCGGCCGGGCGCCGTTCGGGATCTCCTGCACGTCTATGACCGCGCCTTCCTTGAGACGGGAGGTGGTCACGCTCCCGGTTTGCACCATGGTGGCCATGGGTGAGTAGAGTTGTGCGCTGTTCTGCTTAGTAGTGTTAACCGTACGTGTTGAAGCCGTTGATGCGATGCTGGATCTCGGCGAGAATGCGACGGGCGGTATACAACTGGCGGACTCCGGCAACCGTCGCTACCATTTCCGAAACGTCGAAAAGTATGAGGCGGTGGTGGGGGCTGTGTCTGGAGAAATACAGACGTCTCAGACTGAGCGCTGTAGATTCATCCGTGGGGTGGTGGGATGCAGGACCAGGTCTGGATTTAATCGCGATGTGTGTGAGGTTTGAAGATAGTGAGATAGTACCATGTCAAGAGCAGATGGAAGCACCAAGCTTCCGTAAAACCCGCGCGTCTGTTGGCTCTAAAGCCGTCCTATGGCTGGACGGTGAATATGCCGTTAGGAAGGCCACTAGGCGTTGCTTGCTCGGGGCAGTAGGATAGTGAACGGACCAGCGCGGGCACCGTGGTGCGCTCGCCGATAGCTGGAGCTCGAATTTATCCGTAGACTCGCCATACCGTCGCAAAAGCCGCCAATTTCGCACCAATCATCTGATTTGCCATCAGTCAAGGTATTCGTGCGCCAAGTATATCACCTCCATCGCCTTCGTCTATTGCTGACGCGAATCTGTGGGGATTGGTGGAGAATGGGGGGTAGCGTCTGTCGTAGTGACATCCAAGGCCTGAGGCGACAACCGAATACCATACCTAGGTATCTACGCCTCGAGGCTTGAAATGCCCAGCAACAACACCACAGATACGAGCTTGGTACTCGGATAGGCGTATATCGGTACTCCCTATAGGCGCACCGCTTGTGCGAGGCTGGCTCTGGAACTGCACGAGGCTGCAACCGCAATACAGTGGAGGCGTCGCATCGCAAACTTCAGCCCTACCGGCTTTACCATGAGCGGCATCCCGCGCTCGAGAGTAGTGGAGTAATGGGCCACCGGCGTATCTCGTGTAGAGACCTGTGCCCGCAATCTCTCGGAAAGAGCAGGAAATTCGCACAAGTGCTGTTATTACCCAGGCATCGACCAGAAAACTGTGCATCCACTACAGCTATCGACAACCTCCGTGGACAGCATCGGCATCATGTTTCCTACACGCAGCTCAACATGTCATCAAAGGGCAGTACCGCAATATACCAACATTAGGCTCGGCACCAGTTGAGGCTCCGTTTCATCACTAGACTTTAGCCGGCAACCTGGAGGAGGCGTAGGTGCAGACGGTCTAACGAGACCTCGATCGCCTCGTCAACGTCGGGTTTGGATTTTCCGACACCAAAATGCAGTGCAACCTAGGTCCACCCCACCTGCTGGAGCATTACATCGTCGATATCTGATGACTAGCTCATCATGACATTGGTTTCTCGCGATCGGGACGTCACGAAGGCCGGGAATACGTTCAGGCCAGTATGGAGGCAGCGAGAGGGGTCGCTGCTCTTCGGGTCTTCGCGCAGTTTCGGCGAGATACCTATCAACCGCTGCTGCGAGGTGAAGCAGATTGATTGATTCACTTCGTTATTCTTCAGCCGTCCGGTCTCGTCCAGGTATCAGAACGGATAAATACAACGAAGTTCAAACATGAACGGGTCGCCTTAGAACATCAGCCGTACTGCAATTTTCCGGTCAAAGGAATATATCTATTCGTGGCCACCAAGTAGGCTACCTTTCAGCGTATCTCATGAACGACGCAGCTTCCAAGGCTTCAGCAACCACCGGCAATCGGTCATCCACGTGGTACAATCTCTGAATGCGCTGTTTTCCGTACTCTGAGCATGATGCGAATCGAGCATCCTTTTACGTGCGGCTCTCACCAGTACGCACGCTTGCGCCATACGAACAGTTACCGCTGCCACGAGCCGTACCGAATTAGCCAAGGGTATCTCATCTCTGTGGAATAGAATTGAGTAGGCTCGATGACACGTAGTTCGTCTGGAGGTTTGTTGTGCGGTCTCAAAAAGGATGCCATTTCTTGTGTACGGGTGTACATATGCCACATTGTTGGTTGCTTTCGGAATTAGCTCGGTCGATAAATCGAGCATTAGACTAGCACCTCGGGCATGCCCAGGTGGAGTGTGGTGATTCTCAGACGCATCACATCATACGGTCAGTCTACTCGTATCTTAGGGTTGAGCGCCCTCGACAAGCGATAACGTGGAATCTGCCTCTCCAAGATACTTTTTCTCTGGAATATTTCAAATAAATCAAAACACGGAACGGTAACGGGTGTATGTGTCAAGGATTCGAAAACTCCATCTCAGCTTGGTATCCGAGTCCATGTAACTGCTAATCTATCGCACCCAGTCTCTCCAACACACTGGCTGCGTTCGGTCGATAATCTGGGTCGACCTCCAGCATGTCTTGTATGACACAAACGAGTTCCGCTTCAGTTGACCCAAGCTCATCTAGAGCAGCCGAAACTGCCTCAGTTCTCGTCATATTCCCATCCTCTACAGTGTAATAGCACCAAGCTACGCTCTCCTCCATCACCTCGGAACGAAACTCCTTCAGAAATTCCCAGCCTTTCCAATACCACACTAAAATATCCAGGAAGACACATCCTAGCGACCAAACATCATGTGGACGAGAGCTTGACCCGTTGTTGTACGTCTCCGGTGGTAGCGTCGGTGTGTTGCCTTTGATCTTCGACTTTGCACTATTTCCGACCGCACTGGACAGCCCGCCATAGCCTGCGGAGCCGAAGTCCGTGAACTTTAACCTGTGTTTCACGTCAGCGGCAGGATCGATGAATACTAGGATGTTGGTAGGCTTGATATCGTGATGATGGTATGTCATTTGACCGTGAATAACGTCTAGAGCACTCGCAAGGCCCCGGAGCTGTTCCAAAAGCCACTCCCGATCTAGATCTTCGACAGCTCGGCGTTCAGGGTACTTCGCCATGAACTCGTCCAAATTGCCATCCGCTAGCTCCGCGATGAGGTATATCTTCTTCTCGAATACGAAGCCAGTGTAGAACGTAGTGATGTGCTCGTGTGAGCCTGGAGAACAGGCCAGACTCTCGAGAAAATCGCACTCCCGCTCAGCATCTTGCCGAAACTTGCTGACTTTGAGTGCAACGTATCTAGACCAGTCATCGGAAGTCGGGGCCTCCCGTAAAAAGGGAGCACAGCTGTTGTGGATTCTGGCTTTGTAGACTTTCCCTCCGGAACCTTCGCCAATGTCGGGTTTGACACCTCTGTTGAATTCGATCGGAATGGCATAACCCGTGAGATTGGTCCTGTATTGAGATCTGTGAAGTTTAGGGACAGTAAAGAGATGTTGCGCGTCGCAAATAGTACTGTAGACCAAGTCTAATTGTTCTTCGGTCGTTCCAAGCCAGTCGTTTGGCGAGAAAGGAAGGGCATCATCATTGTGGTTTGTCAAGACGAAAACCATGTCAGGTGGCGAGAGACCGCAGTAGATAGCGATAGCAAACAAACGCTCACCGCCTGACCGGATCCTGTTCTTCAGTCCGTACACCGTGTTGGTGTCAAGCCCGGAGAAGTGGAAAATACCACTGATGCTGCTTGCAGAAGCAACTTGCCGAATGGTGGTCAACGGAAAGAATTCGAATGTCTTGTCGCCGAATTTTGCAGTGGTAGTGTTGGTGACCAGCCGGGTTCTACACGCTGCCATTATATCATTGTAGTCTTTTAGAGGCTTTCCCATAATGAAACAGGAGAGGTGAAAATAGAACAAGGAATGAGGTATTGAAGAGAAGACGCTCAGCATCCAGTGGGCTTCTTTATGACCTCTGTTATTCAACAATCACCAAACACCAATTCTGCACTCATGGTGAGCTCACGTGGATCTGAAGTGATTATTGTTTGTGGGTGAATGGGAGTCTGATAACGCAATTGAAGGTGGTATTTCGTTGCAGTATTGTTTATGTGACCTGCGGGAGGCTCGTGATCATAGAGCACGGTATCCACATGACAGGAAAGAAGGTGACGGGCGTATTAATCACAAGAGTTAAGATTATATGGAGGGTATAGTATTGAAATTGAGGATTTGTCAACCTGCCATTCCCGTAAACAAGAGCTGCACGAACAAAGGAAGCATCGTAGAATGAACGAGATGAGACTCACCATAAGAGTGCTTGATCTTTGAGCGATCTTCAAAAACGCATTTCCAAGAGTTCTCGACCTACTAAGTGTCTAAGAGGCTACCCAGAGCAGTGACTACATCACTTGCTCTACTAGTATTCACCACGTTCACCTGTAGCATTTGGCCGATGATATCGACCACAGTCTTCCACTCAGCGCCTCTATCGCCAATCTCTTTTATCTTCTGCTGCACGGTACGTGCAAGCTTCAGCCCTCCTGGGACAATATCATTCCAACGGTATCGGTGCTGCTCCACGAAGTCACTCATCTTGACTTCACCCTCGTGGAACCATACGAGTACTTCGAGAAAGGCCAGCCCTAGGCGCTCGATATCACGAGATACTGCGATGTTCCAGCCACGAATGACCTCCGACGGTTTGTTTTCATTGTAGGTTCCAATAACCGGCTTGTCGCTTGCTTGTTCGCTTGATGCTTCACTGGTTTCTTCATTCCGTTCTCTATCAGTCATTTTTGCACAACTCCAGCCGCAGAACTTCAGGGTACTGTCTTGCAGATTCAGATCGTTCTTGGCGAAGACCAGGATATTGTCGAGTCCAATGTTGCGGTAGAGCCCGTTATTACCTTTCGTAGTAGGCCCGTGTATCTTTGAGAGAGCGTCTGTGAGGCCCATGAACTGACGAACAACCCAGTCATAGTCAAGACCTGCTTGAGCGCCGTCAGTATACTTCGGCATGAACTTCAAAAGGTTTCCTGAGCCGCGCTCGCTGACGACGTAATGTCCTGTCCTGAACTGAAAGCCAGTATAGGAAGTCACAATATGTGGATGTGAGATGTTGTTATCGGCAAGCGCTTGGAGGAATTCGCGCTCCGTACCGCATTCGGTTGCATGCGGATATGCTTGCTTGATGACGAGATCTTGGCCTGGGGGTAAAGGGAAATTAGTTCCGGGAAACATGATCTGCATCTCGTAGACGCTCGACCGTAAGCTATCGTATAGGCGACTTTTGACGGAGATAGGAACAGTGTGGGCTTCATCGATTTGCTGATGAAATCGTCCCTGTGTTGGCATCTGAGATAGACCTTCCAGCCGGAATTGGGCGCGGAGGAAGCTTGCGAGGAGGTAAGGTGAATTTGCAAATCCTGAGGTGACCCTCTTCTGTGCTATAGGAAGTTCAGAGTCCGTAACAAGATCTTCTTCAAGCAACACCCGGAGATACTTTATTGGGATCTTGCCCAGAATGCAGATGACAAACACTCGTCTCCCTGATAGGATAGTCTTGGTGATAAGGCCATTTTTGATGTTGGGGCTACAGTCACTGAGGCTATTGTCGAACGAAATGACAGCTCTGATGTTCTCGTCGGAGGCGACTTGATTGATGGTATTCTGAGGAATTTATGCGAGCTCCGCTGCGCAGAAGTTATATTGTATGATATTTCCACTGTCGCGGAGCTAATGGGAAGACCACCATGTTGCAGAGGAGTCCTGACGGGGACAAAAACGCATGGGATAAAACACCATGTGAGGATGAGGGTGGTAGAGACCTACGAATCAGGTTCGGGTGAGCTTGGCAGTAGTCGTATCCAACGCTGGGATGCCACACTCACTTTCGATATACTTGGACAAGTTTATCAAGTGACCGTATTCCTCAAATGTGCATAGCAGTTGACAATCGCAGGTGAGTAAAAGACGTGATCTGCCGGTCACACGCTGCTAACACACATGGGCGTTATGAGATTAGCAAACTGAGTATAGATCAAGTAGATCAAGTTCGATGCTAGCAACCTCGATTGCCAACATTTACCATGGGAATGGGGTGTCCAAATGACAGCTTGCAGCTTGTATATCGCTTAGCACATACCCACGAAGAAGGTCGGATATTGTCTTTCCAGACGTGAGACGCATCACGAGGTCTTGCAGCATGTCTGAGGCATGCCCTCTTTTGGAACGAACAGTGTGATGCAGATCGCCTAATGGAAGTTGAAGGGACGGAATTCATTGTGGCGATAGTAGTGTCTATATTCGCTGAGGTCTAAAGGCGTTGGTTAATATGCACCGTGAGTCTAGCTTTAGGAGTACAAGGTTGGCCATCGCGAAGCCCCAGTGTATAGATACCTAGGTAGTCGTTAGTGAGCTGACAAGTCGTGAATGATACCTAGCGTAGATTATCCGCCATGTGCTCTGCATGTTCATATCCTGGCTACTACTCGGTTGATATATGGAGGAGCCAAAGTGAAAAAGGACGAATGGGAGGTTGGTGATTCAGCGGCCTTGGCGTTGTGACCTCATCCAAAACTTCGGGTGCGGCGAACAGCGGAGGTGATCGCATCACCCGAACTTCTTCCCTACACCACTCCAACCACCCATGATGTTTGCAAGACGCGCAATTCCCTCGGTAAGCTCCTGAAACTTACGTCTAATTATCAATTCAATCTGACAGTCACCAGGCCTTCCGAGCCGCCACCCGTGCCAGCACAGCTCGACCCATCCCCTCGGCACGATTCCTCACACCGTTCCAAGCACGATTACTCTCCGATGAAGTCCGGTCTGCCATCGACAAGGCTGTCGCATCATCGCCTGTTGTTCTGTTTATGAAGGGTACACCAGAGACACCACAATGCGGCTTCTCGAGAGCCAGCATACAGATTTTGGGCATGCAAGGTGTAGATCCGGAAAAGTTCACAGCCTTCAACGTGCTGGAAGACCAGGATCTGAGGCAAGGTACGTTTTCACGGTTCCCACCCCGGTTTGGCCACCTGGCCGTAGGACTCGAGCCTGCGGCACATTCCGGGTGGCTGCAGGATGGGCAACGGGGCATTACATGCTGACAAATTCGAAAAGGTATCAAAGAATACTCCGAGTGGCCAACCATACCGCAACTATACGTTGATAAGGAGTTTGTCGGTGGCTGTGACATCCTGATGTCGATGCATCAAGATGGATCGCTTGCAAAGATGTTGGAAGAGAAGGGTGTAGTTGTGCCAGCCGAGGGACAGGCACCGTAAGAGGTAGATAATACAACGGCGAATATGAGAGGCGCATGGATTTTATGCCATACGGTATCGCATTGGTTGCGAATGTCTAGCCAGCTTCTGTCACACGTGTAACAACTATATGTATACATACGAAGAGTAAGATACGCATCAACTTCATGGCTGGGATGCCTGATATACTCCAACTAACACACTATTCGGGGGAAAAATGATCACTTCCTGCCCAAACATGATGTGACTAATATGAACGCTCTTTCCTGTTGTCCCCACGCGCCTTCCTCAACGGAGCCGGAACATCCCACAAGCTTCGCGTCTGCCCCAAAGCTCGACTTCACCTCTCAGCACTCTCAAACACAGGAATTGAATGGAGGTCGAGCGCAACGTACCTGAACTGCGGGCGCGCGGCAACATGGGCCCGCCGGCGAAGAAGACGGTGTCTGCTGCTGCCGTTTTCAGAAACCAGGGTGCTTTCAGGGAACAAGGCAACATCACACGCCAGGCAAATACCAGCAACTCCAAGTTCACGGAAGAAGATGCTGACGCTACGACATTGCTGAGCGCCGGGTCTCATTCGAGCGCGCGGAGCGTAGAGAAGAGAGTAGCAAAAAAGAGGTCTTCGAACATGCACCCTCTAGGCGTAGAATTCAAAGGTATAGCTATGCTCTTTCATTTCCTGAGTGCAGACCACTAAGATCGTACTGTACAGATGCCAGCGATAGGTACCGTCGCCATATCTACAAGACTGCTTCTTCCAGAATCAACAAGGCCCTCGAGAAGCTTCTTCATACTCTCTATGAAAGTACACTGCAGACCGTTACTCGCAACAGTAACCAGCAGGATCCCAATACCTCGCCCCTTAAGATCTCTGCCCCAGCGAAGTACGAGCGCCTAGCCACTCAGCTCTACCAGCCCATCTCTCAGTTCACTCTATCACTACGGCGCACTGACAGTGAGGGAAAGAGTGTACGTCTTGATCAGACACTTGAGACTCGCATGCTCCATTACGACGACTTGATCGCTAAGGAGACGGCCAAACTAGCGAAATTGCAGAAGGAGTGGGAAGTCGTCTTGGGCGAGATCTGGAAGCTAGGAGCTACATGCCTAGGCGAGGAAGCCATGGAAAATATGCTGTTCACCAAGCAGCCATCGGACGAATCGGCATTACCTGCTTCATCTTCGCCATCGAAAGTCACTGACGCCGAATCCACGCTCTTCGTTCCTGAACACGAGCGTTCTCCAGCACGCGACAAGTCTCGTAACAACGGGAAGCGTGTTACCTTCCTCGAAGAAGGAGTATCAGCAGATGCCCATAACAACAAGAACGCCGTCACCCCAACGACCATGTTTCCAAAGTTCATATACCAGCCCTCGAGGTATCGCAAGGACGCCCTGCCTCTTCCAACAAGGCTCCCTGATGATGATATCAAAAACCTAGAGATGGAGGTGAAAGAACTGGGCAGGCAGGAATTGAGTGACATGCGTGAGATTGAAAAGGAACATCAGGCGTACTGGAAGAAGAAGACGGCACAACTTGCTATTGCGCTGAAGAGCGACTGATAGGGCAGGTCGATGCACACTCGAGAACATACTCACTTCAATGGCCTGAGTGCAAGTGACTACGATATGTTGGAAGCTACAGACTATCTACTTGACATGGACAGTCCTGCTGCAACATAACCCGCGGTATATGATCGCAGCTTCAGTTAAAACAACCTTTTCCCATCTACGTCCATCGACAGGACGCTCCTCATCACAAGTTCCAGTAAAAGATGAATAGGGACAATGCTCACGACGTCTTGTTCGTATACTGTATTTCCAAAGTCTACAAAGCAAGTAACAATAAACGTATAACCTCCAAAAGTGATCTAGCGCATGCTGCCTTTAACAAAAGCAACGGTCTAATAGTCTAGATGGATATCTCTGATTCAAAGTAACCCCCAATGCTTCTCTCCCAATCTCACATAGACTTAGTCGAACGAGCTCTTGAAGACGTAGCGCTGGTCCTCAGGCTGCTGGAACGGTACACCAAGCTCGAATAAAGTCATGACGCTCTCGGAAAAGTCCTTGAAGAAAGCGTCGTTGTCCTTGGCGTACAGGTCGGTGTACTTCCTGAAGCTCTTGTCCTTAACAAGCTCCATATCCGTGGGCAGCATCATCAAGCTCTTGGTCTTGACGTCCTCGAACTGCTTGGGGCCGTTCCACTTCTTCCATGCCCACTTCTCCTCTACAAGGAGCTTGTAGTAGTCGTTGGTCAGGGTGGTGGGAGAGAAGGTCCAGGGGCCGTCGAAGCCAGAGCGGTCAGTGTGGCAGCGACCTAGGGCGTGTGCACCGGAAAGGGCGACCATGGCGCGGTCGTCGAAACCCATGCGGCCGAAGATGGCGCGGATGTGGCTAGAGTCCTTGCTGGCGTCGGGAAGACGGCCATCGGGTGTGCAGAAGGAGACGTCGCGGTCGGTGCGGCCAGCGCGGTATGGGATCTTGGGGCCCTGCATTTCTTGGATGGCGCAGACACCGGCGAGGATCCACAGATCAGAGTAGGTGATCCATGGGAAGGCCTCTTTGACGGGCTCGAGGAAGTCGCGGGCGGCCTTGAGACCAGCGTTGGCGCCGTGGTCACCTTCGGGAGCGAAGCGCATGGTAGCGCCGTTGGAACCACCAGTTCCTGTCATCTTGTCGAAGCTGTTGTCTGTCAGTTCATGTGTCTAATAGACAAGAGAGTAGAATACTCACGTTCCCGAGGCGTGCCATGCAAGGCGGAGGAGAACGGGACCGTAGCTACCATCATCGTAGTCGTCGTGCTCCTCAAGCCTCTTGGCGATGTGGTTGTAGACCTTCTGGTAGTCCTCGAACCTGGGTGTGAAGATCTTCCTGCTGTTGGTCTGGCCGAACAACTCTGGCTGGTATGTGTAGAGGCCGTATACACCAGCACCGACGAGGAGAGCGCCCGCGCCCCAGGCTAGGCCAGTTGGGTTGCCCTCATGCTTGTCTGGTCCATCCTCCTGAGAAGCGTATCCGCGTCGTTGGTTGCGGAAGGCGTTCTGTGTGGGCGCGACGAAGCGGGCAGAGGAGCGGGTCGAGGTGGTGCGGAACGAGGGAGCGGCGGTGCGCAGGGCGCGAGAGAAGTTTCGCGAGGCAGATGCCATTGTGCAGACAGTGGATGGGAGATCGAGTCGGCCGAGCAGAGTAATTTGTGCAACAGCTGGATGTCTGTTGATAGGCTACTTGTGGAGCAGTTTGCCTCTTAAAAGGTCAATTGACAGTAGCACAAAGGCAGGAAGGTCAAAGAGAGTGAAAACACAAACGCGAATAGGGCGTAGGCACGGGAAAGCTTTTAAAGATAATGTTTCGTTGCCTCGGACTCAGATGGCGACAATCTTTCTGGAAACAACGGCATCGACCCACTTTGATAGCCTCTGCACCAATCAGACGCATTACGGGGCATAATCGTCTGGACCCTTGGGATTACGATATCTGATGC